GGATCAGTTTTTCAGTTTGTACAACCATCAACCATGCACTTTCGTGTGCCGGTTCGGGTTGCTGTCTTTTGGTCGCTCATTTGGATGAACAGTAGGAGAAAGACAAGAAAGTTGAGAGTAGAGTGGAATTAGGGTGGTGGTGGCGCAGTAGTTTAGTCGCTGTCACCGGCGTGCTTTGGACTCTATGGTCCGAGGTTCGAGCCCCGCCACCGCCACCCGACTTTGGTGGCAGGCAGCTCTGCTGTCGTCCGGTTCAATACCACTCCTAACCTATCGGGGACTTATGTGGTTCGCCACTCCAAGTTCCGGGGCTGAGGTTGCCGATTTCAACCACTGAACAGCAGGTCCTCGTGACCATGGGGTTTACCCCGTCTGCTGTTCATCACACCTAAGTGTGATTAAAAAGGTGGAGTATTTCAGTGGACTAATGTTGCGAAGAAATTTGGAGAATGCACGAAGGCCACTGTTTACGACTCATCCATATCACTCAGTGTCTCCAACCATCGGTTACGATCATCCCGAGGTACCCAGCTAGGGAGCCTAACAGGACCTATGTGACCCAGTCCCCTGTTAAAGGATTTCATACCCTCGTGCCAATTCTTAGGTTGACCACCCTTGGCTTTTTTCCACTCGGTGCCTGCTTCGGTGAACATCGCTCGCCGTGGTAACCTATTTGGTCACATACGTAACACATGTCCCAACCAACGTAATCTATGGAGGTTGACCACTTGCTCCAGTGGGCGACCGCGGATACCCAAAGCTCTGCTCCTAACGAAAGCATTCCTCATCCGGCTACCCCACCGGATTCGTGCCATGCTGCGTAGACAGCGGTGTTCAAACACCGACAGTCTGTCTTTATCTTGTTTTCTAAATGGCCAGGTTTCTGCACCGTATAGCAGAACTGGCCTAACTGTCGCGGGATACACTCACCCTTCGCAGACAGACCAGTCGCGACGGTGCCACAGATGTTTCAAATTGGCAAATGTCAACCGAGCTTTGTGTACTCGAGCTGACACTTCATCCGCGATGCATCCACCGAGTGAGATGTAGCTGCCCAAGCAACAAAACTTGTTCATCTGCTTCATTACCCCCCCAGTTAGGGCGAGGCTAGGTGCGCGATCAACCCAGTTCTGTAGTAATATTTTACACTTTGAAGGTGCAAAACGCATACCGAACAGTAGCACTCAAACCATCCAGAAAAGCTCGCAACTTACCTGGATCTTCACTTAGTAGCATAATGTCGTCTACGTACTCTAGATCAGGCAGTCTATCACCCGGGAGCAAATCGATACTGTTTTCCTTGCACAAGGATATGGCTTTCTCAGAAATTACATCTATGACAAAGTAGAATAGAAACAGAGAGGGGCAATCCTGACGAACATCACTTTCAGTGGTGACCTCGGATGAAAAAGTGCTGTAAGCTCGGACCGAAAACTTCTAGTCGATGAATATCTTCAACTCGCAAATTTAAGGTCTCACAACCACAAAGCAAAACTGAACGAACGGTGGCACAAATTACACGACGTTTCAACTTCAGTGAAACGTCGCTTCTACGCCAAAGGTGTTTCAGTCTGCCGTATTCTGCTGGAGCCTTGGAACTGTGGACGGTCATCCCTTTTGTTGCGCTACCGTCATTTGTCACGCAACTACCTAAGTACGAAAAGTAATCCACCATAACTGATTCACGGCCATTTCATTTCAGAACAGGAGCAGGCGAAACCCAACCCTGCAGAATCACTTTGCACTTTGAAGGTGCAAATCACATACCAAATGTGGAAACCGCACTTGTTAGTCTATCGAGTGCTATCCGTGCGTTCGAACAGATACGCGATGTCATCGGCTTACTCCAAATCGCGGTTTTTCTCCTGTTGCCCATTCAATACCCACGTTTTGGAGTCCATTGTGTGCGTTCTCCAGTATTTCGTCTACGGCGAAATTGTACAGGAGCAGCGAAAGAGGGCACCCACGACGAATGCCGCTGCTGGTGACGAACGGCCTACTTAGTTCGTTGTAAGCCCTTACCTGACCAGAGGTATGTGAGAACATTGACCTCAGTAGGTGAACATACTTCTGGGGCATTCCTGTGTATAATTAAAGTACCTATGGTATCTCTATGTATGCTTTATGACTTCGAACTTGGAGTATTTGTTATTTTAGGCGTATAATTTTATGCAACCGCGGTTGCCCACCAGAGCAATTGATCGACCTCCATAGGTTACTTGGGTTGGGACTTACGCCACCAAATAGATTGCCACGGCGCACGATGTTTGTCGAGGCAGAAAATGGATGAAATGGTAATCAATTGTTTGACACTGAATGATGTCGGGGAGTGTCGTAAACAGTGGTGCTCGTGGATCTCAGTTAGTCTATTGGAACTGTCCATTTTCTCTTCGGATTTACCTTCAACTTTTTCATTCTTTCACTTCCCCTTCATCCAATTGGGCAGCCAAGACCGTCGCATGAAAGTGCGTGGTTGACGGTTGAACAAAAATCGTATTTTTACTATACCGGACAATAAATCTCGACTTATTTTACCTCTTCAATTGTTCTCACATCGCTATATGCATTGCCTGTCGAACAACCGCGTGTGCGGCATCTCCTTAGCACGTGCTGTTTAACAATGGTGAGGGCATATTAGAAGTCGGCAGTTGATGCAGTTTCATCGATTGTGATGCTTTGTTAATGAAAAAGTGATATGGAAAACTTATTAGACTGACCGTTTTAAACAGCAAAGTGATAACTCACCGATGACAGTGGCGTTCTGATGGAGTTGCAAAACTTGCCACTGAGCGCACCCATGGGTCATATATAGATGAACGATTACCGACTCGCGGTTGACTGTGAATAAGGTGGGTCTCTGTTCATTGAGCGAGCGATTGTGGATACTCATCAGCATTAATCAACTAAATGATGGGTTGATCTCAGCCAGGGTTCTCGGCACGAAACAACATTTATCTTCAGCGTTGTGACGTGGCTAACACGTCCCTCCGTCAAATATGATAGTTCCCCGTCGTCGAGTTCCTTTTTTGTTGAGGCTCTTTAGAAGGGGCGAGTGAATAAGATAACTGGTCACCGACTCATCTGAATCAACGCTGCAGTTGGCACGTAGCTTCGCAAGTGTTAGAGCACATTTTTTTATTACATACTTAGGTGTGATGAACAGCAGACGGGGTAAACCCCATAGTCACGAGGACCTGCTGTTCAGTGGTTGAAATCGGCAACCTCAGCCCCGGAACTTGGAGTGGCGAACCACATAAGTCCCCGATAGGTTAGGAGTGGTATTGAACCGGACGACAGCAGAGCTGCCTGCCACCAAAGTCGGGTGGCGGTGGCGGGGCTCGAACCTCGGACCATAGAGTCCAAAGCACGCCGGTGACAGCGACTAAACCATTGCGCCACCACATACTCGAACTCTTATTTCGAACCAGGCAACGGCACACGACGCAGACAACCATGAATTTTATCACCGTTTGAACTTGAATTCTAAACCTTTTCGTATGACCATAAGCCGCTCTGCACCTTCCTACC